CCTATTTACCCATTTAGCATATGCCTAATTATTATAGACCTTGTCTGTGTATATGTTTGGCCTAATATCTACCTAACCTAAATTGGTTTCATGACTATCAAATTACCATTTCAAGAAAGCAACTGAGGAAAGGGCACTCTCTCTGACGCTCAATCTGGTGGGTGGTGAACCAGAGCTTGTTTCCACATTGCCAATGTAAATATGTTATTCAAGTGTTGATTCACATATCTAACATCAACTCTAATTTCCCATTTTTGAGTTTCATGTCTTTCCATTTTCTGAGGTGCTTGTCCCAGGAGCTGAATTGCAATGTCACAAATGCTGACACAGGCTGGTTTCTTGATTTCTTGGCCACGCTACAGTTTAGTCTTTACTAAAAATTCAGTCTACTGCAACCATTGTATAACTGAGGAGATAATACATAAATACATACATATCTATCTATCTATCTATCTATATATATGTCTGCAATTATGTAATTTCATACACCAAAAAATAATATATGAGATGCTCAACTTTTGTAAAACCATAAAAGTTATGGAATATGTTAAACTAAAGGACAAAAAAATGACAAATTCCAAAATACTTTTTCAAATAATTTCATTACACATTCTCTAAAATAATTAATGAGCCAACATAAGCCTATACTACCTATACGTTCTATCACTATATTTGTATAACTGAAAACAAAAAATGTGCGGAAACACTGAAAAATTAAGAACATCAATGTGGCCACCTACCATGCATCACATCTGCACATTATGGGTTGATATTATAATAACATCAACAACAATAATTAAAAATACTACTCCTATTACTACTACTACTAATAAAATGATGATGATAATAACACTATTAGAAATGAGAACTCTATTTCCCAAAAGTAAAGGAACAGTGAAATGGGTGAATTCAGGAAGACCTGGCAACTGAGTCCTTGGAGATTAAGCCATTGTGGAGTCATCTACATATAAAATAAAAATGATAAAACAAACCCACAGTGGAAAGTGCATTTTCCTAGCATCAAAACTTTTAGTCAGCCCAATCAGTAAAGCTAATAACAGACATCTCTACTAACCTCGGCCATTTCTGAAGCCTCATTTTCTGAAGATGATCCAGTTACATCCTCCACTTTCTGCCCTTCTGACACATCTTTCTTCTTGTAAATTTCCCCATTACAGCAGTCCTCCGCTTCCTTGCCTGCCTCAGTAAGATGGTCCCCCTCACTTGTTCCCTTGTTCGTAATTTTTTGGTCCTCTGGGGATGAGCATGCACCATTGGTCTCATCTTTTGGGTTGGTCTTCGCTCCACTTGAATCTCTGGCCCTTTCGCTGTTATTTTCTTCCATCTTGAATCGGTTCAAACAGATGTTTAAATTAAAAGAAATAAAAAAACATCACAGGATGATCTGGTATGCCTCTCCTATGCACTGTCCTTCCATGTGCAAGGGATCATGCTATCACATCCTCCGGGGATGACGTCCCAAGGTGCTGATGTGATGGTCTGGGAAGACTAGTCACTCAAAATCCTGCAATTGAAGAAGGAGAGTTAATAGGTTAGGTTAATGGTTAAAAGCAAAATAAATGTGCTAGACATCTAATTAAGAAGGAGGGACATTAGTAAAATTCTGGCTTTCCTAAATGGGTGTCCCCTGAGGCTAGAAAAGAATGGGTGTGGGAAGACAACAAAGGAGGGGTGGTAAAAGGAAGAGGAAGTGGGAATAGAAGAAGAGAAATATATGGTTGGAAGGTAAAAAGACCCTAATGACTTCAGTTGAAAATTTTAAAATCAAAACAAATCAGTAACTATATTACAAATAAAGGCAAACTATTTGTTAATCTGAATTTCATTTCCTTAATACTACTCTTAAATCTTAATGAAAATGGCATTTAGATAGTTTATTTTGTTGTATTTTTTTTTTAACAAGTATGTAACAGTGGCAGACACAGCAGACCCACAACCTCTAAGTAGCAGTAAGGCAAAGACACTGGAACTGTAGACAAATATATCAGCTTGTGGTCACATAACATCCTCAACCAATCAGCAGGCAGACAGGCTCCACTTTGTCTATCCTAGTAAAATCCTATCTGTCCACACTTTTTCTTTTTCTTTTATTCTTTGATAACTAATTTTGTTTGTATGTTTAACTTTTGCATCAAGATTTGTCCAAGGCATCTGTAAACCTACAGTGAATATTGCAAAAATTTGTTTTCCAATTTTCTCTTGGATGTTTTGCCACTTCCTTAAATTTGACTCCTGGTTAATAACAAACAATGATTATCATTCCCATGTTTTTTTTTCACTTTTGAGTTGACTTTTGATTAAACATAAATATATACAATGATTACATGTAACTTACCATAATAGCCACATCGTCTTCATCTTTTAAATCATTAATCTCTAATTAACATAGCAAATCCTTCCCAGATATCATTAATCACTGTTTTCTCTATTCCACGCCAGCCAGTCTAAAGACTTATCAATACACTCACTGACAGCAGCAGAGTATATATTGTGACACCATACTTCCCTGAAAAAATAATCCAATAACATAACTAGTGCACATTTAATATTTTCTATTCCAAAAGTTGTGCAACATCACCGCACACAAAGAGATTACATGTGATATGATTATCTATACATGACAGATTAAGAGTTATTTACAACTCTGGTTTTTACTCCTCACGTCATTAACAGATCTAATCTTCTAGATAATATATTAGTCATGGAAAATTGACAATGCTTTTTAATTCTATAAACTTTCTATTAAATTTCTGGTGTACTATGTGACATTCAGAATCAAATATAGCCACAGGAATGAAACAAAAAGGTTTATCCCAACATGTTTATCCCAACAATTCCATCAGTTAGAAAGAAATAAAGAGAAGAACCAAATTCTAAGGCATGCAGTTTTAATACTGAGTTTTCCTAGCATCTTGCATTTTCCTTGCATCTGGGTAACGTGACCTACATGTGAAAAAATTTGTCTGAGGGCAAGGTGATGAAGATCTGACTGAACATTGAATCTGTGAACCCATTGCTGCTCTGTGACCAGCATTATAGGGTGTATTACAGGAAAAATTATTATAACAAATAACAATGTTATTTATTGTTATTATTATTGCAAAGAGTTATAGACTACCTAGAGAGATGAAATGGAGTCTGTGCATGGAAAACAATATCATCATCTTGATACAGCATATCAAATAGAGACATCATGAGTGTTTGTGTGGCCTGAGCCTATATGCCACACAACTGGGTAAATTGCCACTCAAAGCAAGCCTAATACCTGGATTTCAGGCCATGTATGAGCAGCGAGGAACATGGATTTAATGGTTTAATAGATTTACCATAAATAAATAATTGAGCTTATTTCAATGTTTGATTATTACAAACTCTATAAACTGATAATGAACTTAAAGTTTCTAAAAGCTTCTTGACAACAAACAAATTCACTTCACTTCAAAGACCTTCCATAACCAATTACCTTTCAAAGAAGAAGAAAAAAAGTCAATAATTAAATCTTATGAAAATAAGAATTCAAATAAAACTATTCAAATTCTTAATAAAAACAAGCTACAGTAAGTTAGTGTTAGCACTTACTAATTCAGTCTGCTCTCTAAGCAAGTTGGCTTGAAACTAAAATAATATAAGCAATGATTTGTCAAAACTACAGTGACGTCTTACATGACTCCACACATATTAATAAAATAACTGCATAGTCATGGCTGACTTAAATATATCACTATCGTATGATATTATTAAAAAAAGCATTACATACTTTCTTCACCTACTTTTTTTATGATAAGGTTTAACATGTACAGTTTCTGACTGGTTGTATACACATTGTCTGCAAGTGTACGGAGCTGGCAGGAAGATTGATTTGGTAAGGAATATACTTTTTTGTGTAAACTGAAAAAATTATTCCTTTATAAAAGTCCTTTCATGTAGTGTCAGCGTTTAAAATGTGAGGCTGTAATGAGGAAAGCAAACTTGTGATTGTCAACAATGACTTGCTGCCAGTGAGGACGTATAATTCTGCCACTTCTCACCTTTGCTTACACACACTATCTTGCCAGTGTGGTTGTGGCCTTAGACACCTTCTCACCATATCTACACCAGAGTGCTTTCAAGCTTGAGTGGTGGGGCCCTCAACATTCCTAGCCAAAGGTTCTCTTCTTTAGTTGGCCTACCAGGGTTTTCCCATCCTAAATGCAGAAACTGAGGGCTGAGGATTCACTATTCACAAATGCATGCTTAATTTTGTGACAAAATGATGAAACATATTCATGTCACAGACATAAAAGTTCAAATGACACCCAAGTATTCCCATTGGCCCTGTGCTGATCTATGGACCTCTGCACCTTTAAGCACTCCAGTAAAGGCCAACAATTCTCCAGATTGCTTTTTCTGGCAAGATAGAATTTGCAGACTAATGATTTACAGTTAGTTATATAATAAATGACTCCAAAGGTCAGTTCCTGATACTGGACACCTCTATGAAGAGGACCTTGCTCAGGTCAATGGATTCTAAAAGGATTTTTTTTTTCTTTTTTTTTTTATGTTGGAAAGTATAAAATTGCTCTTATTTGCAAACAGGATTTTTACCCAACTAAAAATGTATATTTTTTCAGTCCTCAGGACCATTCACTGCTCACATCTTTTCACGAAAGCATGTGAAAGATATGCTACAGCTGTTCTAACTTGCTAATTTTTCCAAAATTCAAAAATCAGCCCTTTGTATCCTATTCAGATTGTAAATGCTGGATGGTCCCAAAGACCTGAGCTAAGCCTACTCAAGACACAGCAGTTTGAAATTTTGTCACTTTTCAAGTACTTTATCTATATCATTTCTTTTTCTTTTCTACAAATTATGATATTACATTAAATAAACAAAAGTTCATTTATTGTACATCTGTCTATGAATATTGGCAACATAATCAGAATTACTGTTATCAGTAGGGGTAACATATATTGCAAAAGAACCTCATAAAAAAAATAAATAAATAAAAAATAAATAAAATAAATAAGGATAAATAAATAAAAATGAAAATACTAACATTCTCATCTGAGACATTACAGAAATGCACTAAATAACAAACAAAACTTGAAATTAAATAAAAAAAATTAAAATGGTTTCCAAAATTGAAAAAACAAGTTTATATGAAGAAGAGGACTGTGGATGGTAACTCCAGTAAATGCACTGTAATAATATAACTATGGCATGAATATACCATATCTGTTCAAGATTGAGAACTATAGATGCACAGGTGCCACTGAATCTTTCTCACAATCTTTACCTAGGGGAGTGTAATATAGGAAGACACATAGGTAACAGGGTCAAACTTGTATCTTTGTAAAAGAATAATTATCAGTTACCCCCCACCCCAGAAAGATAATCACTTTCTCTGATAAATTCAAAAGATGGGTACTGGGTATAGGGAAAAGTAGGGAGTTCTGTAAAGTCATTTTGCATACATTTTCTTCACATATAATCAATTAACTGGATGTATAAACTACTAGGGAGTCGGTGTCCACACATCATGTTGCTGTTATTTTCTTCAGAATTTCCATTTTTGGGACCAGTCTTTTCAGTATAAAATATACTTCATCTTTTTTCCCCTGAAATTAAAAACAATTGTCATCCAGACAAACTTCATATTCCAATACTCCTTCCAATGCAGGCAACTGATTTCAAGTAAAATTTGATGCTGGACAGCACCAAAAATCAGACTGAAGCCAAAATATCATTATCATAATTTACATTTATCTTTTGAGATATGTATTTCATGGATAGGACACATACCGACTAAAGTATAAGCTACAACATATTACAAGGGAGTCTTGATAAAAAACAAATTTCATGTGCATATGTACCCAAAACTTACATTTGGAAAGAGTTAATCTTTCCAGTATGGATGCACAAAGCTATCACAATTTAAAGATGATATTCTTGTAGAGGACAAAAAGTTGTACTCATCGGTACAAGAAATAATCTGTAGACATGTGGAAAACACTGCTCGCAGCCTAAGTCCACTCATGACTCCTGAGTTTCAGCTTTCTCTTGTCATACATACTGAGGTGAAGACAATGTTTGCTGGTAATGTTCCCTTCCATCAACCCTCCCAATTAAGATTGTTGAATATAGTTTGTGACCTGGAGATGGGGAATTTGTCACAAGTGAATATATCTGTACTGTAAAGAATTACCTTAGACAGGAAAATTTCCCTAAATATTTAATTCTAAATAATTTATTTTCAATCTCTTTAAACTATATTGGTACAAAAATGTTCTTTGGACAGTGATAAACTCGTATCAATATATAATCTCCTTATCAACTACCAAGTTTGCAACAAAAAAGTCAGTGCTGGAGTGAAATAGTACTTGAATTTGTACTAGTGTAATAGCCAAGGATTTTAACCCATCATTGCTGGGTGGACAGAAATCCCTGAGCATGATAAACTCAGGAGGAGTCCACGACATCAAGCCGAACGTTCTGCTCCGCGCACTCTGGCATGTTGCCATGTGTACAGGTGTACCCCGAAGACCAAGCTGTTTGTTATGATGCTGGTACACTTGACCCGTCTGGGTTGGGTTAAATGAATAAATGTCGAAAAATTCAATAAATTGGCCCTTTAAAGTTTGTCAGTGGCAGTCAGTCAGTCGGTCAGTGTTTACCAGAAAACACTGACTGCGCATTTTTTTGCAAAAATCATCGTATCTGAGAAAATGTTCACCTGCAAATTGTTTCTTTGGTCCTATGGATTCCATTGCTACATAAAAATCTATGAATATTTTGTTAAGTTTACTAATAAAGGAGATGAAACCTAAAATGATCCAAGCCTCTGGTCAGTGGTTAGTGGTCAGGGTTTTAGTGCATACTATGCTTTAACCCAATGGTGACGGGCAAAGAAAAAACAAAAAACTCTACGCTCTAGCGAAACAAAGCGCATCATGTCGACTTTGAACGCGGGATTCGTTACATTAGGCCAAATCACCAGCTCTCCGTGCTTTTCGAGCGGTTTGTTTTCCCGGTTAGCGGCGTCACTCATCATGAAGGGGTTAAATCTATAGGTATTCAATACCAGACAATGCCGACTCATATTTTTACTAATGCTTTTGTTCTTGGTTACACCTCGTCTCAACCACCCGTGCACCCATTAAACAGTAAGACCTGATTACTCTTTTGATTTCCATAATTCTTTGCAAATGGATTATCATTCATTTACACAGGAAACGGTAGAAACATATTTGCTGATTTCTTTAAGCTCTTCATTCTCTCCCGAGTCAAAAGTTCTCGGTAATTCTTTACGGTACAGACGCACTCGCCAGAGACTAAGTCCCCAATTCCAGCCAACAACCTTGGAGGACACGTGGGGATTGGGGGTTGGGGGGGGTAGCCTGTTTGATTTGAGTGCCAGTAAATGACCAAAGGAAATTATAAATGCAAAGAAATGCGACTTTTCGGAAATGCGATCCGAACTTTCTATTTGCGTCTTTTCG